TCTAAAACAAACCAGAAAATTGTAGACAGTAAATAAGCCTTCAGTATGGTGATTTTACCTTTAGGGGAGAAAATTTAAGAAGGGTTAAGGGGAAAATGGGGAAATAAAAGAGGAGGAATAAATTAGAAGCAAGATTGTAAGATTACAAAAAAATTTGGGAAACTGGTTAAGAAGACAGGAGGGAAAGAGAGAAGGAAAAAATAAAAACAAGAACAGAACAAAACAACAACAAAAAACTAGAAACCATTTTTACACTCATATAAAAACAAGAACAAACAAAAAAAGCAAAACAAGGAAAGAAAAAATGTCCACTTTAAGGTGTGTGTCTCTGCTGTCACTGGTAGATAAAGTGGTCAGAGTCCAAATCCATGTTGATCAATCCCAGCATGCCAGCAGTAGCTGTAAAGTGTAGTAGTGGATAATCCCAACAAGTCTGCACCTTTAGTTCCACTGAAGTTCAGGCTAGTTTCTGGCTGTGAGGCTGGAATCTAATTTGTTCATTCTGTAACATTCTGTGTGTCTCCTGGTGGGTTGAACTTGGCTCCTTGGCCTCCTGCCAATTTGAACTCAGCAGCTTCACCCCAATAATGGGAGCTGTTAGATTGCCTTTAGAAACTGAAGTGAAAATAACACCTCTCTTCTGTGGCCTTGCTATGGTCTGAAGGTTTGCATTTCTGCAAAATTCATATGTTGAAATTTTTACCTTTAAAATAATGATATCAAGATTTGGGTCATTTAGAAAGTGATTAAGTCAAGAATGCAGATCTTTCATGATTAGGATTAGAACCTTAAAAAAGAGTCCAGAGAAATCATTTGTCCAAGTAGAAACACAACTAAAAGGTATACTGAATCAGGAGATAGGCCCTGGCTCAGTGATGGTAAATCTTTTAGACCTTTCAATGATACAAAAACCCACTGTGGCATGAATGCCATAGGTTCACCACCACTGTTGGATACAGAACCTGCTGGTACCTTGATGATAGGCTTCCTAGGCTCCAGAACTGAGAAATAAATTTCTTTTGTTTATAAGGCACCTAGTTTATGATATCTTGTTATAGTAGCCTATAGAAATTAAGACAGTCCTGATCAGTGAGCTTGTTTTACATAGCCAAAGTGGGTACTGGAACCCTTCATTTAGCGAAGACATTTTTTAAGAGAGGCAATATGGTCCAGAGGAAGGAGCTTTTGGATTCTAAGTGTGAAGCAATACACCACTAGCAGTGTATGTGAATTTTGGCAAGATTTTTCTGTTTTACTTGATAAGTATGAATTTTAAAAATAACCCCATTATCTCACGATCAAAGATAAAATGATGACTGAGAAAATTTAATTGTAATAACCATGTGTTAAATTAAAAAATGTGTATATTTTTATTCCTAGTGGCTGGTTGGAAATTTTACCATAAAGTCAGCTTCCAGAGCAGGCTGAACTTAAATAATTTCCTATCAATCTGTAGTACAAGGGAAGGATATTCATTGTGGTATTAATGTAGTTTCACTTTAGGCAGTAAATCCCACTTCCCCTTTCCAACTTCTCCCTCCCTCCACAGCAGAATGTGACTATCCAAGAAGAGATCAAATTAATGTGAGGCAAGCACTCTGTTCTGCTCTGATATTAAGGACACTGGATATCGGCTTTTGTTTATGAGGAAGGGAAAGGGCAATGTCCTTTCACTCCAGTGCTCCATGACTACTGTGCTGTAAACATCACTCTATGTCCAAATATAAATATCTTGCAGACAATGATTAAAAATTAACACTGCAGCCTAAGCTGTGAGCTCAGTGAGGACTAGATCCATGTGGTATTCAGCTTTGTATCTTCAGTTCACAACAGAATATCTAAAATGCTGTAGGTGGTAAATAAATGTATAAAAATAGTATTGGGGCTTATAGAATGTTATAGAAAGATATGGTGTTTTAGGTATGCAAAACATTTGCTTTAAAAGATATTAAAAAGTCTTAAAAGCAAGACCAGAATCCAGGTCCCTCTATGTGCCTTTTGCTTCTGCCCACTCAAATGAAGAGAGGCTCTTTCATCTGCATTTTGACCCGATAGCAATAGGGAACACAATTGCCTTCCACTTTCACTGTCATCAACCATCTCAGAAAGGAGCATGAGGCCTTTAGCTACATCTGGAGTAGACATCTGCAGGACAATGTCTACTTCTTGGGGCCATTTAGATTTCAAAGATAATATTTCTACAAGCTATTTTCTCTTTTTAGAACTATTTATCTGCAAATTACCTCCAACCTACAGCCCCTCAAAATTATCTACATTCTAATTCTCCCTCTCCTCTAAAGAAAAATGAATGGTTCTGAATCAAAATTTCTTGTGACTGCCTCTTTGCCTGTAATATACTTACATGCATTTTCTTCTAATTTATGTGACTTTAAATGGCTTATCACAGTGAATCTCCAAAAGACAAAAAGAAAATTTCTTTTGTCCCTACTACAGGATCCAGACCTTCCTGACCCTTGATTCCCATTTCCTAACTTGTTTTCTTTGACTGATGTGTTTGTTTACCTAACTTTATCTGCCCACCTTTCATCTCACTGTAAAATGAGGCTTTGAAAAATTGAATAATTTCTCTCAAAACCCCCAGATAAACAAACTACATTTAGTGTACTGTTCATTATTCTGAAAATATAATGGGCTTTAATGTTTCGAAGATTCATGAGATGCAAAGGGAGTCTTAAACAGAGGAACACTTGCAAATCTATTAAAGACACGGCACTGTACCGAGTTAGGTGTTTTTAATGATGAGAACCATGAACAGGGATGTCAACAACTAGAACAGCAAGGTATGCCTTTACTTAACTTTTATTTATAGTGACATGAACTAACATATGGGAATGCACTCTGCCTTCCACATTTTCCTATTGTCAAACCTTAGCCTCTTCTTTCTCACATCATACTAGACAGTGGACTCTTCCAAATTAATGACATTTATGTGTACAAACAAATAACCTGTTATAGTTTGGGTCTTAAGTATCCCCCAGCTCAGGTGCTGAACACTTGGCCTCTAGCTGATGATGCTACTGGGAGATAGTGGAAACTTTCATAGGCAAGGCCCTTTTTGAGGAATCTGGTAATTGAGGGCATGCTCTTGAAGGGAATATAGTAATCCCTGCCCCTACCTCTCTTTCTTTCTGCTTCCTGCCTGCCAGGATATGAGCATCTTTGCGATTCACCCTCTCATTTCTCCACTCCCCAGCTATGCCACTCTCTCTGCCTTATCATAGGCTTAAAATAATAGAGCCAATCAGCCATCGGCAAACTTCTAAAACTATGAGCCAAAATAAAATCTTTCCTCCTTTTAAGCAAATCTTTTCAGGATTTTAGTTACCGAAATGGAAAGCTGTCTAACACATAGCTATTTAATAATTTGTGATCAGAGCCTGAAAGAAAGACATGATAACTGTGTAGACTGATTAAAATAAAATGCATAACAAAAAGGAGAGAGTGATTGGGTAATTATGAATTAATTCATAAGTAATTTCAGACCCTTACAAAAAGTAGAAACAACATTAATCATTTTAAATCAAATTTGCAGCTATAGCTCATGCAAGATACCTTCAATATGATGTGAAAAGTAGCACAAGGGGGCTGTAGGGCTGTGGAAATAGTTTGATAGCTTTGCTTTAGATTATTAGCTATGATACATTGAGCAAAAAACTTTTCTGAGCTTTGGTTTCAGTAAGAAGGGAGGGGCATTCAATATGTACTATGAAAACAGCTTCATAGCTTTGTTTTAGATGATTAACTATGAGCAAAAAATTTTTCTGAGCCTCAATTTCAATAAAGAGAGAGGTATTCAATAAGTAGTATCTACTAATTATGATATAGTCTTTCTTCGTGGTTTTGGTGTGACCAGTAGACCTTTAACCAATACAAAGAAAGGAGACCTTATTATTCAAAATAACCTGCTTACCTTTGAAAGCTTAAGGGTATAAACTGAGGTGGAGAAAACACATCCTCCCTAGAGACTCAAGGTGAGGCACTGGTTTATACAAAGGGAATCCCCCTGATTAGAATATTACACAATGTGAAATTTATTTAAGCAACCCCTTCCAAAGCAACTTGTCCTTCTTGTTCTCTTTGTTCAAGAGAACAGTGCTTTCTTTGCAAATTAACTGTACTGCTCTCCTTACTTCCTTCAAGTAATGAGCCTGCTATAGACCTTTTTTTCCTGGATTCACTTACGGCTTTGCACTCACCATCAGGCAAATTAACTGTATTTGGTCACACATGAAAAGCAACTTTGCTATCAATAGGTTATTTTGGTGGTATTTTAGGGAGCCAGCATTAAACATTGCAAGTCCTCTGGGACAGGTATTTTCCTTCTTGGCTTGGTGATTATAATATATGAGATATGTGAACATTAACACACACATGTCATTTAGTTCAGATAAAAGAAAGATTCTGAGATATCCAAAATTTAATTTAAAAGGCAGGAGGGTGTTGAAGGGAAGAAATAAGGAAAGTTAATTAGTTAAAAGCTACAGGACAAAGAACTGTTCCACATTCCTGAATATATTTTTAACTTTTGACATAAAACTCCTGAAGGCTGAGGTTTTTTGACCACTAACCCTAAACAAACCAGAAGCAACAATTACTTCTCCTTATGGCCTGTTCTCCTATGCCAAAACTTTCCCCATTTAGTGTAATCTCACACCTATTAATATATACTCAATACAGGTTCAGTATAAATAATTTATGCTTTTCCTCCCAAACTTTTCGTTATAAAAATGTTCTTGGCTCTTAGGTCTAGCAGACAGATATGATGCTGGTTGTTGAGGAACTTGTTCCAGAATCTAGTCCTTTATTTGGCCAGCATCTGTAATGGTTTAATAAACCTTTTATTCTAGAGTCTCTTTCTCAAGAGTCTTGGTTTAATAATCTTTAATAAGAAATATTTTTATATCCACTGCTAATATGTTTCCTACTTCATACTGTTTTCTTCATCATTATATTCAGTCATGTTTAAAAACAAAACTTACCCAAAAAATCTAGTTTTGCAGATCTTAATTAGCTATGATTAAGATTCTAGAATCCAGCAGCAGGTCTACACCGAAAATGCTTCAGAATAATCCATCCCACAGGAAGGGTAGAGCCAAACACCACTGTGTGCTGAAACAAAGAAGAGCAAAGATAAAGGCCCAGTTGAAACAAGATAGCCAGGAAAAGCAATTAAGACACAGGTAAGACTTACTCTTCTCTTTTTCTTTCTATAAAGACCTAGACATCTGTACAAGTGGGGATTTCCTTTATAGATATTATTGTTGTTGTTGTTTTATAAGCAGATTCTAAATAAATATGTAAAATGCCAGAGAGTTGTACTTTGGAGAAAATTTAGTTGAAAGGTGATTTTTTTTTTTAACTTTGATGTTTAGCAAAATTGCTGGCTTCAGGGTAGAGCCACAGCAAAGAACAGAACGGGCAAAGTACTTCTTAGACCTTATTGACCTGAGGGCCAAACTTTAGTAAAAACTTTAACACTGTTTTATGGGGAAAGGTGGTAATGAAATAGAAAGTTTGGTAGACTAAATTTTCTTATAAATTAATTGCTTGTGCTTTTATTAATCTTTCATAAAGATCCCTTTAAAAGTGACAAAAAAAACTTTCACATATTGAACATTGTAATTTTGATTGTTAGTAAGATTTTACTATTTTTATAAATATTTGTAGCTTCTAGGACCTAATACTTACACAGGTAAAAGGCAGGTGATGCTGGAAGAAGGAATATTTAGATCTGTAGAAATTATAAATCCCATTTTTACTTTGAATCTGGGGACTCTCACAGCTAAAATGCAAGCCTAAGGGAAAACATGGGAATATCACTGAGGTCAGGTCATCTTTGATAGTGAGAACCCTAAGGGCTTTTTAATTCTCCAACCAGGCCTATAGGTGTGTCTTTCGCTCTGAGTTTCCTCTGTTCAAATTAACCAATGACTTTCCAAGCAGTAAATCACCTTTACTGCTCCTTTCTGGCTGGCCCAGTCAAATAATTGAGGCCTCCCATTCCTAAGCATATACAAAAAAGAAGAACTCAGACACCTATGAATTTCCAAAGCTGGAGTTTATATCTTCTGCAGTAATAATAACTTACTGTAACTGCTGTCAGCTCCCTGTGAAACAGCAGCCTTTACCAATGACTTGGCAGCCACTGCAAAACCAAAAGCTGTGTCCTCTTATAAAACAAACTAAAGCTTGACACCCCAAAGCCAAGTACTCTCTCACAATACCAACTAACCTTCAATTCAAATACCAACAATTTTGGGGGCTCCATGCAAAAAAACAGTGCAGTGCAAGAGGAACATGCAAACTCCAGGAGTTCCATAGGGAAGACGGGGCTCAGAAGGGTGAGCAGCACCTCTCCTGCATTCCTTAAGGGTCTCAAGAGTCCCAGCGAACTCTTTTAGTCCCTTTCTTATGGTTGCAAGAACTGTTAAAAGACAGAATTACAACAAATCTAGTTTTGGCAGCTCATAATTGGCTTTAATTGCAATTCTGGAATTGGGATGCAGTCCAGACTACAAATGGTTCAGAATGCTGTTCCACCACATGGACAGGTTATATTTATAGCTAGAGAAAAGGAAGTGAGATACTGAAAATGGAAAGGAGGTACAGAGGCATCATAATTGGTTCCAGTTTGTGTCTGTTTTATTGGAACACGGTTTGAGGAGTTTGCCACCTGTGATTGGCCAACACAGCTATGGTGACCAGGCAGCCATTCAGGTCCTTCCACTTGGGTGGCTTGCGAACTGCTGGCTAACCAAACCCCCCAAAAAGACCATCTACTTTATCAAAAGGACAAAGTCTTCATTCAAAACCCACCTCAAGGAGACAGAGGGAACACATTTGCCTCACATCATTGTCTCACCATACCCAAGTATGCTAGGGTCTTTTACAAAATAAATACTTGAGAGGGAATACAATGTGACAACTGTCAGCTCTGCCTCATCTCTCCCAGATTCTGACTTCTTATAGTGAACCTCTGCAGATGCTTTCTGATTGAAGCTGACAGGAGGAGTGGCTGTGCCTTTCAGCATGAAAAAGTTTGGTGCCAGCATCTGCATATGCTCTCCATTCATCTGGGCTGAGGAGAGCCAAGCAGGTGACATTTATGCCCTAGCCCTGAGGGAGTTTGAAGAATCTCCCTGTCTCTAAAGCAAAATTTTCTAACTTTTAAAGTTTCATTTTGCCATGCTAGTTACACTACTTATTACAATAGTGTGTTTATTCATCACATTAGGTATAGGGGCACCTTTAGGCCAAACTTAAAATATGTGAAGAAACAGCATTAAATCAAACTTAATTCAGTTTAACAATTTTGCCCTTTTGGTCAAACTCTCGATTTTGGTCAAACTTTGTTTTCTGAGATTTTCTTTCAATTTTGAGAGGCTGGTCGAAACGTAGGTCACGTCACTATTATCAGTGGATTTATATAGTCTGTTTTCAGCAGGCAGTAGTATAACAGGAAGTTTTATAAGGCTGGGATCAGGGAACAGGAGAACCAAAACACATCAACATCAGATTGCTTCAGGTATTTGGTGTTTTTTTTTTGTATTAAATTCTTTTATTGGTACATTGTAGGTATACAACACAATTACATTTCTCATTGGGAATTGTATCTTTA